TTAATAAGAAAACAGACACAATCAAAGCCCTTGAAAATATGGTTGGGATAACAGTCAGTGCATTTACACGGAATAAAAATTAACACACGCAAGCTGAACATTGCCAAAATAATCAGGAACAATTATGCAAATCCACTACAGCGACTCGCTAGAGATTTCAAGATGAAGCAAAATGGCTTTTATCTAAAGTGATCAAATATATACATCTCATATTTCATTGGTTACGTGATCTGCACTGCGAGGTTCAGGGTATGGGTATTTTAAGTTTTGAGATATTCATAGGGATGAATGTCAGGAAAAAAGAATCAATTGCACCATAATGCTAAACAAATTTATTCAGTAAATAACTGAAGATCCCAGATTCAATCCTCAATTTGTGTGTTGTAGATCTCAGAACTGCAATAAGGACACTACAATTGGCTTCTGTGCTCGAGGGTTAGGATGTAAAAGTCAAGAGTTCTTTTTTATTGCTAACTAGATACCTTATTTGGATGTTTTTTTGCAATAATCATTGAAATTAAATGAATATCAAGGTGAACGTTTTGCTAAGCAAACAAATACAAACACATTCTGCAATAAAGTAATTTCACATTTAAAAGTTTACTGCTGAATTTCTTTGGATTTACACAGAATGCATTAATTGTGCTAAATACACTCTGGTATGTCATCTGGGGCAACTTAGGCGTCAGATTCGATCCCCGGCTTTCCTTTCTACCACACATCCGATCCCTGATCAGATGTCTGTTTTCCACCTCCGCCACATTGCTTGTCTCTGTCTATACCTTGCAACCAACACAGTTGAAACCCTCGTCCACGCGGTCATCACCCCAGCTGGACTATTCCAATGCCCTCCTCGCTGGTCTCCCCAGCTCCACCATAAACAAAATCCAATTCATTCAAAACTCCCGCCACATGGATACTCACCCAAACGAAACTCCATACCCCCATCTCACCAGGCTCCACTGGCTCCCAATCACTGAAGAGATCGATTTCAAGATCCTCTCACTCGTTTTCAAATCACTTCACTCCATCGCACCTCTCTACCTACCCGACCTGCTTACCCCCCACTCCACCACCCGCTGCCTCCGCTCGGCTGGCTCCGGCCTCCTATTTGTCCCTAGTGCCCTCCGTTCCACCATCTTTGGCCGTGTCTTCAACCACTATGCCCCAAAACTATGGAACTCTCCCTCAATCCCTCCACTTTGCCCCCTCATTCCCCAGTTTACAAATCCCACCTAAAGACTTTCCTTTTGCCAATTTTAAAACGTTCCAATCCACTGTTTGCTTAAAAACCTGAAGGAACAAATAGCTGTCTCTAAAGAGTCTGGATATGCAAAGAGTTACTCTTTGAAGTTCTGTAACAGTAAAGTGTGAACAACACTAATCTGATTATGGCAAAATGCTATAATCAATACAATATCAAGTTACAAATGCTGAGTTGTACGTCAGTAAATTGAATGGCAATTTCAAAGAAGAACTAATCTATATTTATTAGTGTGAAGCCTGTCTAGGAAGAGGGGTTAATAACAATAAAATACAATTTATATTTATATAGCATCTTTCATGTTGGGGTATGTCTCAATAATTGTTAGGAAAGGACAATTTGAAGACACACACCTCAGGCTAAGGGCAAGAAAGACAGCAACCTCAGTCTATGTTTTACAAGCCTGTTACTGAAACCATCTTTGAATTATTGGATAATAGGTATATTTTATTATATTTTGCTTAATCCTTTAACTTCTGTGCTATATCTGTCTTACTGTCAATCAATATATATATATTTAATAGTATTTTAGCTTCAGTAATTTATTCAACTATTAAAATTGGCAAACATTCAATTTCTGAGATTTGGGATATTTTGCCTGTGACAATGAAATAAAATTCAGTTTGTCCGTTTTAGACTAAACTTGTGTGGGAAGCAAGTGGGGTGACTTTGGGTGCAGCTGAAAGTACAAGCCCTCTTTGAAAGTTCACAGGCTACTGAGGCATTTAAAAAGCTGAAATCAGACGAATACATAAAGTTATGACGTGACCAAACCTATTCCATGATCTTTCTGAGCTTGTATATTATAAGAAAGCAAATGAGACAAAGATACTGTGGTTCACTGCAAGTACAATGAGTTAGCATGCTGTCCTCTCATCTCTGGAGCCAGAGTTCAAATCCAGCCGAGACTGATAGGATAAATATTCTCTGTCAATCTTTCTTTTTCAAGGATTTTAAATGAAATTACAGTAGGCAAATTCAACCTAGCACCTCGTCGGAATGAGAACACAACACAAACTGTCCAAAAACAAAAAAACAAACAGCACAAAAAATAGCTGGCTTGGGAAATCAAAAATTCACATTAACGCTTTTAGAGCTGTTCTACTCATCTTGAGAATCTGGGTACATTCAATGCAAAACTGTTAAAAAAAAACTTCTAGACAGCAAAGATTAGGGAAGCATCAGCAGGCACAGCACAGGACAGTTATCAAACTCAAGCATTCCACCTTCAGGGAGATTTTTTTGTTTATAGTTACATCCTTTCCAAATCTTTAGAACAACAAATTACATTTGAGTAGCGCCTTTCAGCATCGGGAGGACATCCCAAGGCACTAGACAGTCAGAGATTTGGACTTGAGCAGCGGGTTGAGATCAGGAGGGATAGAGGGCAGGGAGGGTAGGGGGGTGATCGAAGGAGCGGACAAAGTGGAGGGTCCTGAGACATGCCTTGAAGAAGGCAAGGGAGGGAGTAAGACGAAGTGATTGTGGGATGGAATTCCAAAGGGTGGAGGCAGAGAGGCTGAAGGCCTGACTGGCGAAGGTGGAGCAGGACAGGCGGGTGGGGGGGGTGGTCATAGAGTAGGCTGAGCCCACTGAGCGAACTGAGAGGATAGTTTACAACAGTGTACAATACTTCGTAAAACAAAAAAGAAATCTAGATCAATATCAAAGAGAGAAATCTGAAGATCAGCAAGAAAAACACATATCAGTAGGGGAGAACACAGGAAGATGCACAAAACCTAAAAATGTCATCACAACCCAAAACTCATTTCACTCTCCATTGTACAGTTTGTATATCTCAGCCTTACATTTCTGCTGCACCTGTCTCATTCCCTTGTTCTCTCTTACTCAACGCATATTTCTCATATGATATGAAATGGTTTCTCATTTCAATTTTCATTTTCAGTGGTTCAGCAAGAAAATCAGCTATCTCCCCACAGGTAAAATGCAATTTATTTTTGCACAATTTATTAAATGTGTTGCTGTCAACTGAAAGCCTCCTCGCCTAGTTGATGCTGCTTCATCTTACAGGGCTAGAGAAAGTTTGACAAGAACAAAATTTAGAACACCGCTGGGCATGTATAGGAATAAACAAAATAATTATTTCGTAAAACACAAGTGTTTTTATATATTGTGTTCTTCATGGTTATATTTCATGGTTCTTAGCTAATAAAGCTGAACAAAACTCCCAGCTTCATTAGAGCCTTTCAGTTAGCCTGTTCTCTTAAGATAACACTGGTTGTTTGTTCTGCATGTCAGCTTTGTGTATGTATAATGTAATAAATGCAGTGGCAAAATAGTTTTAAGTGGCTGATGGACTGAAAGTCATGTCAAAGACTATCAAAATAAATATTAAGAGAAACTAGAAGGGTCTGTTTGAGAAAATCTCCAAAACTTGATATTCTACAATGTTTGTCTCCTTTATCTATAGCTGCAGATGAACACATTGGAATTGAGAAGACAGTTGACATCTCTATGTGATAATGTGAGTATAAATGATTTGAAACATTGCAATTCAGCATATATATGGGGCACTTTTTCTCCAAAAGGTAGACAATTTCAACCTGCATTGTTTAAGTCGATTCATTTATTACACAATGACACCCTGAATGTTTATTAAAAGTATTTCTTGAAAGATTACAACAGCAAATTGCAGTTATATAGTGTCATTCACATAGGACATTCTTAAGAAAATATTGCAAACCTTGCTGTATCATTTCCCCATGCTGTTCAATCACTAATCAAGTCATCAGCATAAAGGTTTGAAAAGACGTGAGATCAGAGGCAAAGGTTTGAAATAGCTGCTGACGATTAGATGTTATAATACTTAGAGAACACTGGAGCTCTGTGTGTATTACTGTATTACAGTGGAGCTCTGTTTGTAATACAGTGTTATAGTGGAGCAGATGTCCAGGTTATTAGATCGCCACTTCCTCCACTGGGCCGAATCGTTAATCTGCTTACATGCACAATGAAAGTGGCTATAGTTTATACCACCATTAGGATTCATGTATCTCTACCACCACAATATAATATTTCCTTACTCCACACACCTAATAATAATCCCTCCAAAACAATAATAAATTGGTCATTTTCAATCCACGACTGTTTGTGGGACACTGCTGTGTTCAATTGACTGCTGCGCTTCGCCCACAAATATACGGTCAATTCACTTTACAGCATATTCTGTGAAGCGCTTTGAGACGTCTAGACGTGAAAAGCACTATATCAAATGCAAGGATTATTATTTATTATTATTAATGGAGCTCTCTGTAAATTTTCTTCCAAGACGACCAATGCGACTAAAGGGTAGCTTAGTCCTAGTTGAACAAGCAGCATGAATTTTAATCTGCATGGTTTTACGAGTTAATTTTCAACAGTACCCCAAGGCATACTCTGTAGTCCCCAAACCTTGCCGTTTGCCAACCTGTGCCTAATTTCTCCAGGATGAGGTAAGAAGCATACAAACCCCTACGGAGAGAGTCCACAATCCGCGCCTTATCGTGTTGTCGAGACATCCCAAAGAGCTTCACAGGATATACTGTAACATGAATTGACTGTATTTTGTGGGCGAAATGCAGCAGCCAATTGCGCACAGCAATTTCCTACAAACCACCATGGAGTGAGCAAACAATTTTATTTGGGGGATTGCTGGCTAGGACACTGGGAAAAACTCCCTTCTCTTTTTGAATAGTGCATTGGGATCAGTGATGTTAAGCTTAATAATTCCTCTTACCTTGACAAAACAGTTCCTGTGTCCTGGAACAGATCCATGAACATAAAGGATATTATGTTTTGTATTCACCCTCCACACCTAGAAGATCAATAGAATACATTTGGAATCAAATATTTACGGAAGAACTACATACAATAACTTTTGACATGTGTGCAATGAAATTCAGTATTTATTTTGTAATATTCATTAGAAAGTAGTGGAATTTGGATATTATTGTGGTCATTTTGAGATTTGGCATTCTTTTGTCAGGGTGAGAGGCAATGTATTAATTTTCCTCCTCTTCATACATGATGAATCCTATCATTCAGACAACCCAAGAAGTAATAATGTGGGTCAAAACCAAAAAATAAATCAATTCCATAAAATGGAAATTCTTCTTTTAGAATTGACTCATTACTTTCTTCAGTTTTCCTGTGAGAATTCACTTTTATTGCCAGATCCACAAGCACACTTAAGATCATTTCCATTTCAATCTATATGTCATCATGAAAGGATTAACTATTGACTGACTGTCCTAATTGGTTTTATTGCTAAACTATGGATCAGAACTCCTTTATTCTGAGGAACAAAGCATCTTTGGACACAAAACTAATGTAGGTACTTTGGAAAAGCTTGCTTCATGATTTGCTCAATGTGTTCTTCACTACTTAAAAGAGGTATGCTTTTCCATATGTCAAAATGTTCTTTTTTCTTGCTGTTTAATCTAGCTGAAGATGCATTTAATTGTGTGGCCTGTTGCATTAATATTTTTTTAAATGGGGAATGTGAAATAGTTTTGAGTTATTCTCAAGATTACTTTCTCCTATTTATTTATTATTGCAGTCACCACAGGAATCATGAAAGATTATTTGCACAGGTTAAACATGAATGTAATTCCGTTTAAAACACTTCCAAATATCTAAGTTGCTTAACGTACAATATTACTATCATGGGCATCTATAATCTCCTGAATTAGATTTTCTGCTAATTTCTTTCTGCCTAAATTACATAAAATAGAAAGATTATATTCAAACGCTCTCTGAATATACTATTTAAGTTGTTGAATGTGTAATATTACTGTCATCGGCATCAATAAGCTCTAGAGCCAGATTCCTTGGCAACCAATGGTAGTTTGATGGTGTCTTATGGCTAACTATCACTTAATGTGAATCTATTGCTTTAATTCACAGCTTGTTTTAGTACACTAGAGTGAATTCAAAATACTTGCTTTAAATAGCTACCTTATGTGATTGAAGTAAAGTAGTCTGAAAGCAGTGGATATTTTTGTAATTGATCGATTGCAATTGACCCCTCTCTCAGTCTCAGTGGTTTATTTTGAGAAATCTGTCAATCCATAGTAAATTTTTCTCAGTAAATACACCAAATGAGTCTTGAATCTCCATATCATTTTCTTCAATCATAGAAGATTACATTTTCACCTGGCGATTATCTGCATGTTCACTTATCATGGGGCTCCATTGTAGAATGGGATTTGCTAAGCCATTAAAAAAGTCTTGATGAAAGAATTAAGTATCGATGATGGACTCATGAACTGGGCTTGGAGGAGAAGGCAAATCACTGGGGAATGAGATTATTCCCACGCAGCAACTATTAACTTTGTCAGCCAAAACCCAAATGGGTTGGGTGCTCCTAGCTGGACAAGCAGCAAGAGGCTTGCCAGGGTTCACAATGGTAAGATGCAGTTTTAGCTGGTTTTTAATTGCTAAAGAAAATACTCTACTGATGGATTCAAACCACTTTGTCTTAGATACATAAATGTAAAGTACTAACATCCAACGGCATCTTAACAACAACAATTTACATTTATAGAGAGTCTTTCAACATTGGGAGGATGTCACAATGCATTTCACAGAGCTGATTGGGAACCTGAGCTCGGGGAGGGGCACGGAAACTGAGGAGGGAAAAAGGTGGCAGCAAGCTTGGTAGAAAAGAGGGAGGGAGCAAGGGACACTGGGATGGATTTCCATCGAGTTGTGGCAGAATCACAGACTGGGCGAGGGACATGAAGCACCCGGTGTTTGCTGACCAGAAGTAGCAGTCAGGGCAGTAAGGAAACGAGGAAGTCGCAGAAATAACATGGGGTAGGCTGTGGAGGGATATGAAGCGAACTTAAATTTGATCCTCTGGGGGATGGGGGCCTGGTTGAGCTGAGTAGATAAGAGTGATGTGTTCATAGAGTCTGGTGCTTTTGCACAAATCTTTCTGAAGTATAAATGCTTTGGGGAAAACATTTTTCAGTTTTTTTAAAATAAGGCATTGAAATTTAGCAGTGAGAAATGGTTTCCATGAACTATGTTGTGTATTTTCACCTTTGAGTCTAAAACTAATACATAGTGATAAGATGAAGACATACTTTTGTCTTCAGTGTCTTTTGGTTCTAATAGCCCTTAGTAAAATGGAATTGTATAGTGGGTGACCAAAAGACATGATACCATTACAATGTTGAATAAGTATTAAAAAATATATATTTTTAAATAATAGGGCAGTTATCACGACTTTTTGGTCACCCTGTATTAATCCTATTTCCACGATATTCGAGATTAAGATTAATAAAAAGGTGATGCAGAAAGTAATTGAATAAGAGAAAGAAGATCCTCCCTGTGGAAGGCTCCGTCGGCTCTAGGGTGTTGAAACCAAGATTTTCAAAGCCAGCATGGACCTGTTAGAATCATCATCACTTCTTCTATTCAATAAAAGATTCAAAAGACTCCCGCAAGTGTTTGGGTAGGCAGTCAGTCACAGTATCTGTATTTGAAAGATCTAACAAATGATCTAACTGATACCAGATACTGTGCAGAACTGTAGCAGATGGACAACCAAAGGGTGATTCCAGGTGGTTCTAATAGTCAGGGTCTAGCCACAATGAAAGCTTTTTCAGAGCAAAAGCCTCAGCACCCATTGATACCCTTCCTACATTCAGGCGTGCTGAAGTCAATTTTGACTGATGCTACTGCTGAGATAACAACTAGGGCTTTGAGGGTTCTGTAATTTTAGGGATTTGAACTATTTGCTGAAAGCATCAGCTATGCTGATTCCCTGGTGCATACCATTCTGCAATGTCTTAACAAATCTGGCTGAAAATTTCAGATAAATTACTTCATGTTATGCTTCAAAAACAAACATGTCAAACATTTACAGTGACATTTTCTTAAATATTTATTTCAATGATGAGCAATGAGCAAAGTTTTGTCCAGTCAACCATGAGAAAAACTGAACACTACTTTTCAAAGCATTTTCTCTCAGGGAGGAGATAGATGCAATTCCATCCCCCAACACTGTTTAAAGAATGGATTGATCACTTCACATGAGCAGTAATTTCTACCCACCCCTCCCCCTTCACACTCCCTTTAATATAGAGGGAATGTACATTATACCAAATTTCACTGTTACTCAAACTGATTTTATCAAACTGTTTTCTCATGGAATAATTTAATATACTCTACTGAGTATTATATTTGGGCAAGTTTTTAATAACATCTTTTGTGTTAAATATTCCAATCATGTTAATTGAGGAATAAATTGAACAGATTCAGAACAAGTTTAATTCACGGCAGCAGTCTCTAGCCTGAAGATTTTTTTTAACATTTGCCTTCCTTTTGTGTCCCTCCTGCGAGTGACAATTTCTGCAGTATATTTTGGCAAATGACAACTGAGTTATATTTGAGGTTCATTTGTTTTTAAATTGCATCCCATAAATAATTTAGGCATCTGCAATATTCCAATATTGTGAAATTAAACGCTTTGTTCCACTGCCCTTTTTATTTGTGCATATTAAGCACATACAATTTACAGTATGTGAAAAATATAGTTGGAGAGGTGATTTGCCTTTTCACAATGTTCAGATAATCTTCATGTATTTGTCAGTTACCCTCAAATAGATTTTTGTTTGTTATCCTGAGCAATTCCTCAAAATTGTTTCTCCTCATCGGCATATGTTTCTCTCCACCAGGGCTGGTCTTCTCTTCCTGGAGTTCAGTTCCGTTGATATCGCTTGCTCTCCCCAAACATGTACAACCAATAGAGGGTGCTACAGATGGATCAGAAATCAGAATCCTATCTGGAATTCTCTTCCTTAACTTAGCTCCTGGGGAACTTGAGTTAATTGCTGGAATGCACTGCTCACTTGACAACTGGTCAATAGCCTCAGGCCATCCAGTCACCTGACTACCTGACTTGCTCAGGTGGTCGTGAAGACAGGTTTCAGGTCCGCATTGTCCTTTGACAATTTTGGGGCTAGAAGAATTTGGGGGGTGTGTGACTGCGGCTTGTCTGCGGTGACAACCCTCGTTCCCTAAGTGGAACATTTTAGTCTAATTTGGTTAATGGGGCTGAGCAGGCCTAACCTCGTTCACCAATAAAAAAAATTAAGATGGTTGCTTCTGTATAAATGACTAATCTTCTATGCAGAAATTATCTCCTGTTTCTCCTCTCCATTAAACTGATTTCTTCCATCCTTCGTCTACTGAACATAGATATAAACATACTAAGTTAAGTCTAACCTTTAGTCCATGAGCTGTGTTGTACTTATTCCCCATTTTTCCAGGCATTTTCTTCCCAGGAAAAACTCTAGCAGGGTCCTGCATTCAATAAGACATGAAACTGCTGGTGAGAAAGACATGGAAAATACATTCTCTGACCTTGCCATCAATACAGAGACAAAGAATGGTGAAACAGCAGCTTTAATATGAAAGTTCATAAATATCTAAGGAGAGATTAATATCAATCAGAATTTCAACTTTGAATCCACTTGCCCCACTACCATTTTCATCATGTAGAATTTAAATATTATAGAGTGAAATATGCATTTCCCAAGCACCTTATGAGGAAAGTAATTACAATGCTATTCAACCTTTAAATTCATATTGAATTTAAGATTCCCTTCAGTAATAAATAATACAATATTAGTTATCTAAACAAAAAGAAAATTGAAACAAAGTAAATATTGTCAACTCAGAAAATCAATTGCATGTTCAATCCATTGTAATATTTACTGACATCGAGTAAAATATACATTTCAAAGCATTTTAACATGCTTTGATACGAAAAAAGTCGAATACAGTATGAACTGCAAAATCAAAATCATCTCCTTTCATACATGTAATCAAGTATAAAAAATCACAATTGCACTGGAATCTAATAAAATTAATAATGTGCGATGCATTGAGATTTTTTTTCAGTTACTAGAGATTAATAACAATATAACCCTTGTAATTATTGTCAACTGGAAATAGGGCATTGATCTAAACAAACCACCCAAAGAGTAAAACCGAACATGGAATAGAAAGTGTTACAGATTGTCAGAGTGATTGGGTAAAAGAATGTCAAACCCTATCATGATAAAGAAGATGCAACAAAAAGCTCTTATTTTTCAAAAATCCTGGAGCAAACTGCAATGAATTCAACAATTCAGTGTGACAGCAGCTTTTTCAGCACTCGGCTACATCACCAGAGAGATAATACTTACACCACCAGGCCCTGAGGCTCCTGGTCTTCTATGGGTTTTCGTTTGTCCATGGGTTGCAGGCTGGCCTTTAAATCCCCATCTCTTCATAACTCCCTGAAATCCTTTACCAATACTACAAGAGGAATGAAACAACAAATACATCAGAAATTTTAAAAAAGCACTATTTAAATACACTATTTAAATGCATTGCTGCAGATTTTTACAACTGACCCAAATATGAAACCGCCCCAATATTTACATTAGAGATGCATTTTTAAATGGGTTATGTATAATCTAGGAGAAGGGAACCTTGATTATCCACTACAATGGGAAAGAAGCAAAAGGGAACAAACTTAGTTTCAAATTTAGCTCAGCTTGTAAACACTACGGGGGAACGGGACTCTCTCTAGAAGACATGTAGACTAAGGCAGATGATTTCTCCCTAAAATGGAAAGGATGACTTCTCAGTAAATCAGGAATTAAAGAAAGCTTCAAATTGGGAAATCTTCGATTGGGGGATATTTAGATGAATAACCTGCACATTTTCCTAACAGTTGGGTTTTGAGATCAATTTCTTCCAACTCTTAAATCACACATTACCAAACTTTACCAATATCAAGTCATAATAGGGCAGTTCGCCCTATTTTTTCCTGGATCAAAACCCAAGATGGTCAACCTCACTATTTCAATGCTCTCCACTTTGTGAGGTTTTCAGAATTAGTTTGGAAGTTATCAGTTCAAATGCAAAATATGTGAATGTTTGTATAGGGTGGTGTGGGACCACATAAACCAGCTTTTTAATATTTAGGCTGTTTAATTACAGGAGACTGGTTTTAGTAATGCAGTGTGTAATTAAGAAGAGTTGGATAGGTACTGTCATTTTATTCTTTAAATCAAATTGCATGATTGAAAACATTTCAGAGGGATTTAATCATCTCGCTAAATGAAAAAAAATCAACTATAAAATTCCAAATTAAAAAACGCAACAGTTTAAAATAATTAATGCTCTCTGACATAACTGAAACCCCTGAAACCATTCAATTATGAAAACATTTTGGTTTGTTATGCTCTCTACTGTTTTCTGTTTCGCTTGACCTAGGCTGAAATAACAAGTATATGATGTGCTCTATAGTGTGTTCTATCACTGCCCTACCAACTTGCCCAAGGCAACTTGTCCTTTCTTCTTTGTGCTGAAGGTTTGGGTCTCCTTACTTTTTATTTTCCCATCAAACAAAAAAGCCCAACCAACATCGCAGAATGCCTGGAACAGCATTGCAAAAGGAGTTTTGAACTCAGAAGGCTGCACAACTGATCTTTACCAAGATATTAGTTTGGGCACTACAGTTGGGCTCAATACAGGTGAGAAGACCAGGGTTTCTACTCCTCATCACTATCTAGCAACTCTGTTGGATTTTGTCCATGTGTGGACATTGTTTGTGGACAGAATTGTGCTAGACTAATGTTGCCTTACATTCAAACAGCCCCTTCTACAGTAGAACTGTATAAATTTACAGCACAGAAGGTCATTCAGCCCATCACGTCTCTGCTGGCTCTTTAAAAGAGCATTCCTTTCAGTTACATTTACCTGCTTTTTCCTTATATTCCAGTAACTGGCTTTTTTTTTAGCTACTTATCTAGTTCCCATTTGAAAGCTAATATGGATTCTGCCTCAACGACCGCTCCCGGCAGTGCATGCCATATCCCTAACATTCCTGGTCAAAGCTCATGCCTAAATGGAGATTTGAATGAGGCACCAATGGCAAAATGTAGTCAAACACTTAGGGAAAAGGCTGGTGAGAACAAAGAATGATAAGAGATAAATAAGAAAATAATGGCTATCAATATGTTTCCTGATTCACCAATTGAAGATCCACCATTCTGACCCATTTGTTATTGTTATCAAATAATTTTAAATTTGGGCATGTAGCATTCCCTTCATTTTATCCAAAGTGTAAGAGTCTACAGCGGTATCTCACCAGCACATAATCTGCAGTTTAGCTAGAAGTCTCCCAACAAATTCCAATTGATAAAGGTAGTTCAAGGCACATTTTAATTTTGAACTAAGCTTTTCAAAACTGAAAAATAATTTTCCTAAATTTAATAAAATTATGATTTTTAAAAAAGATATAAAATTGCACTATATGAATGATGGAAATGAGAGTATAAAATGATAACTGCTATGATAACGGTTAAAATGTCAGATTGTTTTCTTTGAAAGGCAATAATGTAAAAAAAACCATTCAGGCAGTATCTGGACAATTAACTAAGCCTTGAAGGTAAGTGGGAGTATTTTTTGTTCAAAGTACTCCTACTAGAAATAGATGAAAAATAGCACACAAACAAGCAATGCTTTCCCTATGGCAAGCAATTCTCATTTTAATATCATACATGGGTCTCATCTCCTCGTGCACTCAATCTCTCCAGTGAAATGCTATGTAGAAGAGCCAGCGGATGCACTGTATTTAATGATTATAAGCCTGAGACAAGTGTGAAGCTGTCCAACCAGGGAAAGTTCAGCACTCACTTCTTGAAAAAAAACTGTGAACCTGAAGCTAATTAAAGAAGAAATACAATTCCAACAAACGTCGATGGAATTCTTATAAGATTTTTTTGGTGAGCTGGGTGTCTGATACAATTGGAAACCCATCAAAACGTTTAAGAATCTTAATAACAAGCCAGACAAGAGGTACACGTATATAAGTCACACACTGGATATTTCCCTATGTCTGGAAGGGAATACGCTCTCTCTGCCTGGGGAGGGACACATCCTGCTTACCTAATTCCAAAAAGTATTAGGTGCCGGCTGGCAAAAAACAAAGTTTTGGAGTTCCAGGCTACTCCTGGAATTTAACCATCTAAGACCACATAACTTGCCATTGAAAGCATTACCTGGCAAGCTTTCTGCTGCTTGTCCAGCTTGGACCACCCTACCCGTCAGGGCTTGGGCTTGCATGAGTTCCCAGGAGCTGAGTGGGAGGAATCCCTGCACTGAGTAGCTGGCCTCTCCCTCCAAGTCCTGCCATTGAGCCAGCCTGGCTGGGCAGTCATTAGTGGTGCCCTGGAGTACTCCAGACCAGCCTGGCTCAGCAACTGGATTACCCAGACCATCACAGAGGGTTGACTGGATTCTGACATTTTATTGTCAATCACGTCACCAGTTCAAGCTTACGTTACCTTCTCTCAATGAGGATAGCTACTGGTTGTTCATTTGACAAGCCCTAACTTCATTATAATAGGTGATTAAATTTCTGACTCATGTTATTCATCTACAGAAGTTCTTTAAGACACAATAATGTTCTCCTCACGATAAAACTTTCAGTACAAGTGTAACACAACTTGCATGTATATAGTGCCCTCCACGTGGGGTAGTGTCTGGGAGCACTTTTACAAATTGTGTTTACAAGCTCTCCATTGAACAATCCACAAAGGAGAGAAGCGCACCATCAAACTCATTATTTTACACTAATGACTACAATTTCAACAACCAAAATATGACTTTGACAGGAATTAGTTCCGATCCAGTTAAGGACATCTTGGAATTTGTTGAATGTGTACATCCAAGCAGCTGTCTTGTTTTAACCCACCCGCTGAAGAAAACCAGCGTGTGAATGTTCTACAATCCACAGCGATGCCAATGAACTAGAGAATCCAGCTAATCGATTAAACCCATTATGCTCAAGCAAAAAGTTGTCAAAACTGAACAGTGACTTCATGTACAGAGGTTGTTTGTGAGACATTACTGTGCGCAATTATGCTGCCCGATTGCCTACAAATACACAGTGAGTTCATATCACAATAAAACTTGTGAATCACTTTTGAAATGTCCTTCTGACATGATAAGGCATTATACCAAATGCAAGAATTAATCTATTACATGTGTAAAAAAAATTCTTACTCCTAATTTACCCATTTTTAAATTAGAATCGTCTGGTGCCTGAAATGTTCATTGCATTGAACAAATTGCCTGGATTGACCAAACCCTTCAAAACTTCTATCAGGTCATTTTCCATTTTCTTATTCTTTCCTTGTAATGTAGATTTCTAAGACCTGGTATCACACCATTTGCTCATCTCAAGGGCAATTTCTCTCCTGAAATTAGATAACTAAAACCACGAACATAGATATGTTCTTAAACAGCAACATTATCTCTTGTGATTGTAATGTATTCCTCTACCAATTCATGAGTACCTCAGCTGTATTTTAATATTGCCAAATATAGGACTAACCATTAAATTTATTTATCCCAAATTATCACTAGAGCTCTTTCCTGATCAGGAAACTACACAACATTCAATATTTTACTTTTTTTTAAAACCTGCTGCTGCTTATCTTTATAATTTTTCCAATCCTCCTGTAGCAGTTTCCTAATTTTAAAAATATTCTATCTACCCCTAACATAGTATTGTTTTATACCCCTACTTAACCTCTCGTCTCCCCAAATCAGTTATGATTCATCTAGAATGAGGTTCCATTCTAGCCTCACACTCTTTCGATATAATCCTTTTTTTAATTGTACATTTCCTAACAATTGGGGTGCAATTAAGTTTTAACTCATTTTGCATTCCTCTCAAGGGTACTCTAATTTATTAAAATCTAATTTGTTTTATTACTGTCCTCCTAGCATACCTGCAGAGCATTTCAATTTGATTGATGTTGTGATTACTGTATCATAGATGCTCTTTTTCTGTTACTATACATACCGCAACATTACCATGATTATCAACAATGGCAGACTGCAAAACTGTTAAGAAAGCAATCCTGAACCATGTTCAGAAATTGCTCTCTCATTTTATTTCCCAATCCCGTTTTCCTAAACAATTTTAATATAATTAATTTTCTAGCCTTTTACAAGTTTTACATCACCTCGAAAAATATTTTCTATGCACCCTCTTCTCCTGTCCAGGCTTTCTAATAACCATCAATAATATTGCATTACTATCCATGACTTCAATCCACACAGGTCTCTGCTTTATTCTACCAGTCACATCTATAAATGATCTCCTGCAACTGGATTTTCATTTCTGATATCTGTTATTGCAATTACACTGCACTTTTTCTTCAACACACACATTTCCAATTACTTATTCTGAGTGATCCTACTGTAATTAGACTGCATGAAGTTATCCTCTACAT